TCTAAAAGTAGAAGTTTCATGACTCCTGTAAACCATTCAATAACATTTAAATTGCTTTAATGAACATAGTTAAAAGGGGGCTCCAACTCTCCATCATAAATAATTAGAAGGTGATTAGGTCAAATCTTGGTTTGATCAGCATATATTCATACATGTATGAAATATAATGCTGTATCTCATAAATATGCATAATTATATTAACAAAAATTTTGAAATAAGGTCTCATTTTGTAGCCCAGGCTGACCTGGAACTCACTATTACCCAAGACTGGCTTTGAACTCATGGCAATTCTCCTACCTTAGCCTCCCAAGTGCTGGGATTACAGACATGAGCCATTATGCTCAGTTATATTAATCAAATAGTTTAAAATTATTCAAGTAGATGAAAATACTAACTACCCTGATTTAATCATTACATATTATGTATAATTATATATCACTGTATTCTAGAAAATATGTACAAATAAAACTAATAATAAGAATAAATTACCACAATGATTTGGGACCTCTCATCTATTTTAAAATTACAGAAATAATAATCCCAATAAAAAATCCAAGCAAATTCTAAAAACAAAGGACATGCAAATAGTCTGCATACTTGCCACAGAGCAAATTGATATAAAATTTTTAGCCTATGAAGTTACAGAGTCTAGGGCAGTGTAGTACTGGCTAGGGGATGGACATATAATGAGTGGAAAAGAATGGAGACCTGGGAGTAGACTTTGTAAATGCACTCTTGATTTGTAATCATTAGAATGAATGAACAATGGGTAAATGATTGTCATTTTAGTTAAAAAAGAAATAATGGGCTCCTTTTCTACACAATACTTGAAAAATCAATTCTAAGTCATGATGAATCATGATGTAAACCCCAAATCTCTAGAAGCTTCAAAAGGTAAAAATGATATACAAAATGCCAGTTAACCATTACAAAAGAGATGAGTACCTTTGCATTAAAATTAACATCTATGTTTATTCAAAAAGTCATAAAAGTGTTAGAAGACAAAGTACTAAGTGGATGAGAGACTGTTTATGGCACATGTACTTATATTATTTTATAACTGACCAGAGATTATTATTTAAATATAAGCCAGGTGGAAATGACCAAAAAAATCACATTAAAAAGTAAATAAAGTTAGGTGACTAAAGAGATGTCTCTGGGGTTAAGAGTGCTTACTGCTCTTGTATAGGACCTGAATTTGGTTCCCAGAACCCACATAAAGCTGTTTACAACCTATCATAACTCCAACTCCAGGGGATCTGATGCTTCTGGCTTCCACTGGCACCTGAAGTAATGTGCACATACTCCCACACAACCATATCTGCATACACGTAATTAAAAATAACTTAAAAATCTTTAAAAATCAGAGAAATTAAAGCATTTTCAAAGATGCTTATTTAGTAGCAAAACAAAAATTCCACTGTGATTAGTGTAATCAGAATTAAGATACTTAGTGTAGATTGAGAAAGCAAAGTGATATGAACTGGGGAGGACTCACAGGAAGCTGTCATTTCATGGTTTAAATGTAAGCGCTGAATGCACAGTATATTACTTTATAATTCATACACTATTTGGTATATGTGTTTATTTCATTATTTTAAAAAGATAATACTTGAACAAACTTCTTTAATCATGAAAAAATTTCCTTATCTGTTGTACTTCCTTCACATATTTTTGTACCAACTTAGTATGTTATGCTTGAGTTTATTGGCCACCTGCTAAATAATAGCAATGTCTATAAATTTTTGATTCCTGTGACCAAAATCTCCCACATTTTAGAGCCTTATAGTCTTCAGCACACCTCTTGACAACACTGTTTAAGGATTGAGTTGCTGTGACATTATCAGTATATAGTTTGTTAAAGCATTATGTATATATTACAAGCCATGATAATAATTTGTATATCAAAGTAGAATATTATCAAAAATATATTTCTTTATGTAACAAATAATGATCAGAGCTATTGTCAACTTTAAGAAAAAGGGCATATATTGCTTCTATGGCTTGACTGTTTTTATCCCTTTAAAATTTGGGTTGGAACTTTATCTCCAGTAGTATTGAGAAGTGAGGCCTTCAGGATCTTCATTTAGAGCTCTTCCTGTTTAACCCTTTTGCTCTTTTGCTTTCCACCATGTGAGGCCATAGTATTGCCATTGTCATAGGATGCCATCTTGGAAGCCAAGAGCTTCCTGTCCTCCTCAACCATCTCTCTCCCTCTCTCTCTCTCTCTTTCCCTCCCTCCACCCTCTTACACACACACACACACACACACACACACACACGCACACACACACTCTTTGGTACATTGTCTTGGACCTTCCATGTTTTAGAACTGTCTTGTTTTATTCTTTATAAATTTCCCAGTCTTAGGTGTTTTGATATAGCAGCACAAATAGATGAAGACAAAAATTTGTACTGAGAAATTTCTATAACAAATGCCTAAAAGTGTGGAGTGGCTTTGTAACTGAGTAATATGAAGAGGCTATTGGAAGTAAATGCTAGAAAAAGCCTCTATTTTTGTGAATGCAGTATTAAGGGAAAGTCTATTGAGGGCTCAGAAGAAGCGAAGAACTTTGGAAGGAGACTAAATTTTGGAAACCACATAGGAGGTCAGGATCACAGTGCTGATAGAGATCTGTGTGGTTAAGCACTTTCTTATGAGGTCTGACATAGAAGTGAGAAATGTCTCATTGAAAACTAGAGGAAAGGCCATCCTCATAAAGCTGAAGAGAAAAGCTCTTGTAGGCATGCACTAGACTGTGGAATTCAAAACTTAAGATGATGGCTTAGGATATTTGGCAGAAGAGATGGCTAAGAAAAATACTTAAGTTGTTTCAGGTTTATCGTGTTTATAGTAAAACGTGAAAAGAGAAAAGCAAATTAAAGATGAAATTTAAAACAAAAAGAAAAGCAGAACTTAAAAGTTTGTAAAGTTGTAGTACGATCAAGAGAGAATATTTAAAAAGTGATGAACTGTTTAACAAAACCCAGAAACGGAAGAAGCAAATTTGTTAATAACTACTTTTAATTACCACCACACTTGCTTGTGAATTTGAGTTCAATTCTTTCTAACATGGAATCCACTTATTTTAAAGTGAACTGATTAACAAACAATTCCATCTACAATCAAGAGCTGTCGGATCCTTTTTTCCTTTGGACGTATATACTCTGACATTATAAGCACTGGCCTTAGGTTATTTTCCTAACTTAACAATTTTGTAATTGTTAAAATATAATTAGGCTGGGGATGTAGCTCAGTTAGTATAGTGATTACTTAGCATTTAAAGCCCTGGATTCCATCTTAGCACCTCATAAACCAGGGGTAGTGGGGCACACCTGTGATCCCAGCACATGAGAGGTAGAAGAAGGATGATCAGAAGTTCAGGATCATCCTCAGCTATGTAGTCAGTTTAAGGCAGCCCGGGGCTTCATGAGACCCTGTTTAAAAAACAAAACAAAGCAAAATAGTATTAGTAAAGTCACTCTCATCTCACAGCTCTAGTATCTAACCACTAGTCATGCTTGTTGTCAGTTTGTACTTAGAGATGTTTATCCACATACACTGGTGTTACATACCAGTAACCCTATTGCAAGTAGAAAATGCATTGAATACTTCCAACCTGTCAGAGCACCCTTTTAGCAACATAGTACACTGTACACCAGTTTCTGTGTTTACTTCTTGATTAAATTGCTGACTAGAATCTATGCTCACAACCACTGTCCAGTATCACAAAGGAGTATCTACCAAATAGCAAACTGAGAAAATATTAAAATTCAGAGCTTGTAGTTTCTTCTCAGTGCCTATCACTTCACATCATTATAAAGTTGAACATCCCAAGCCAGGGACCAACTGTATGATGGCATGTCACACAAGAGGTGTGCGCTTATCAGCAACGCATAAGTCTTAAATTTACCAAGTGACATGTTTTCTATAAATTACAGGTAAAATTTTGATAAGTTGTTTGATAATCTTTCCGAAAATAAGAGACATATTTTGATATGTGAGTAATTAAGAACACAAGCTTAAGAAGATAAGAATGCATCTCAGTTGATAGAGTGCTTGCCTAGTGTGCACAAAGCCCTAGGTTCAATCCCTAGCACTACATAAACCATGTGTGGTACACAACTGTAATCTCAATTGTTAGGAGGTGGAAGCAGGAGGATCAGGGCTAGCACTGACTACATAATGAGTGTGTGTTTGAGGCCAGCCAGACCTCATTTCTGTCTTTTTAAGAACATACTTTGTTTTGATTTCATTAAAATATTTTTATTAATTATTTTAGTTCATACATTTGATCATATTTGCCCCCACTCTTCACCCTGACTCCTCTTAGATCCACCCTCCTCCTCTCCAACTCCTTTTTTAAAAAAATGTATTATTATTTATTTTATTTGATGTGTATGAGTGTTTTGCTTGCATGAATCTAAGTGCACCCATGTTGTGCAATGCCTGCGGTGGCCAGAAGAGGTTGATGGATCCCCTGGAATTGAAGTTACAGATGGTCGTTAGTCGCGATGTGGGTTCTGGGAACCAAACCCAGGTCCTCTGCAAGAGCAGCCAGTGCTCTTAGCTGCTGGGCCATCTCTCCAGCCCCCTGTTCTTCTCATTTTGATAGCCCACAAAGACCAATTTGTGCTGACCAGACACTCATGGGTATGGGGCCATTTACTGGAGTGTGGTCAACCTACCAGGAACCACACACACCCTTAAAGAAAAGTGACTCTCCCTTCCCCAGAAGCCAATAGCTCCTCAGTTAGGGGTGGGGGCTCATGAACCCCTCCCCCTCCATGCTAGAATGTTGACTGGCTTGATCTTGGGCAGGTCTTGTACAGGCAATCACAGCTACTGGCTGAGCGCAGTGATCCTGTTGTGTCCAGAAGACACTTGTAGAAATCTACTTTAAAAAAAAGAAAGAAAAATAACAATAAAGAATGGTTGGTCATTGAATATACTGCTAATAATGGTTTGAAGGAAGTAAATTATTGCATTTTCTCTGTAGATACCACTCTACAGAAAGAAAATCAGGAAGGAAATCCATCCCCAAGCCAGAGTCAAGAACCTCTGAAATCCCTGGAAAATATATCACGACCCATTCATCATCCTTTAGTTTTAAAAGCTAACTTTGAAGAGGAGGAGGCGGAGGAAGAGGCAGTACAAAATGGTCAGTACCCCTTTTGTTGTATTACAATACACATTTAACAACTTAAAATATTTTCTACATACTGGGTTGACTATTAGAGGCCCATAATATAATATAGAACCAATTCTGATTAGAAAATACTCATTTAATTAAAGAAATGAAATTTATGTTTTAATTTCTTCTGTGTCTATATACGCTTACACTAACTTGAACTGAGAGGCTTTTGTGTGATACCTGGGAGAGACACTAGGTTATAATGCCCAGCTGCTTTCAGAGACATTGATAATCTCATATTTGACAACTTCTATGAAACTGATGTCATGCATGTCTGTCTCTTTATATATCTATTAATCATCCATTTGTTCTAACATTTGTTCCTTGTAGTTATAAGAATCCATAAGGTCGCATGTGATTTAGAAAGCACTGTCATTTGCATCATCCCTCATAGTTCTTACACAAGTATGGGCAGGGTAAGACCCAGGTCTTCTGCCTCTTTGGTCCTATATTATCACAGAACATGGTGCTAGTCAGATAAATTTCAGAGAAACACATGGAAAAATAAACTCACTTTGTCTCTGCCGTGGAATGGGTTTTCTGTGGGCTTCGAGCTGCCATAATGTCCGTGTTTATGGGTACATAGAACTGCTTACTGTTCTTTTTATTGGGTACTACTTCTGCCTCTCAGGCCTTCATCCTCCACCACCACAGCATTACAGTGATTCTGTTCTTCAGCCTCTCATTTCAAGGCCTACAACATGAAGTGTATAATTTCTTTATTCTTTGCTGATTGTTTCTAATACTTGACATGGTAGCATCTTGAAACACCAGTTTGTACATTTTTTATTTTAAACATTAGAGGAAAAATAATCCATCCATGACAAAAATATTTGGGATTTTTCTTTCTGATTTATAAATTTTCAGATTATTTGAATTTGGGACCATTTAACTAAAAAAAATATATCCTATAGATGCTTCTAGCTTATGGACAAAGACCCCTGAAGAAATTGAAGAAAAAAGAGCAATAAAGGAGATGTGTGTTAAATCTGGTAAGAAATCAAGACGTTTGTGGATTTTCCAATGATTGATTTAATCCACATACTGACCATTCCTTTCTCATGGGAGTTTAGGTGAATACTATCGATTTCACGCTCCTCCAGATATTTCATCACCAAAAAGCATATGTCCTACAGTAGAAAAAGAGTTAGGAAAGGCTTTGGAAAGTGGCAGTGAATTACAAGAAGGTAAGAAATAAAGTAGTATTCAAAGTGATGTGTGAGAGATACATACATGTGTGAGTGAATAGATTCTGAATTATTCAGTACACTGAATGCTGGAGCAGGATTAACTGGTAAATAATACATCAGGTTTGAGAGTGAGGATCGAAGTGATTTCACTGGATGACCCAAATTTCCTATGGGAAGCTGTTAATGATATTTCCTAAAGGAGTGACAGGGTGAATAGACTTCACAGATACAGGTACCTCTTCACTTTCCACGCAGGAATCCCGTAAATAATTCTCCTTTATCGTTTTGACCTGGAAATACACCTTTCTGTAAAATAGGACTGGATTTTTCATTCCAAATGAAAAAGATAACCTAGATCAAGAAAGACAAAAGGCAGGTAAAAGAATAATGTTATTGGCAGAACAAGGAAGGGTCTTTGTGTTTGTTGACGGAATGTCTTCTATGCATCATGCAATTTTAGGCAAGTATTGGTGAATAAATCCAGGCTGTGGCTTTCTTTCATGGAGCATTTCCTTTGGCATATCTGATAGTGCACCTAATCAACGCTTTGTTCTCGAAAGATAAGAGTGTTGTGTTCTGTAGAGAAAAGCAGGAACTTAGAGAAAAATCTATTGTTGTTATGAGTTCATAGTTTTCTGAACCTTAGAGTGAACACAAGTACACATTTTGTAGCAGCAGAAGAGAGTTGAATTCCTTCCTGCTCCTCTGAACTACAGGAAGGAAGGTAGAATAGAGTGAAGGAGAGAGGGAGGAAGAGAGAGAATACACACAAAGAGGGCAGAGAGGAGAGAGGTGAGAAAGTCTTCTGAAAACGATCAAGATGAATACAGGATACAGGACAGGATAGAGCATCTATACCTACCTGCCCTAGTAATCTGTATACAGCAAGATATTCCAATATCCAACAGCAGGTGGCAGCAATAGACCATCAGATGATAGAGCAGCCTTTGGGACTTAGTGACACCTGTCTGAAGACAGATGGAAAGCCTGCACTGATCAGACAAGAAAAATCCTAAAACAAAGAAACAAGAGAGAAAAAGTTACCAATCAGTATTAAAAAGGAAGATTATAAACCATTACATATCTTTATGCATGTAGATACTGCTTTGTGTTGTTTTAAAAATCTTTTATGTTTAAAAAGTTAATCTGTATACATTGTTTGCATATATTCATCCCAAATCTTAATATTTTAATACATTTGACTTTTCACTTACTGTCTAAAATATGCACATTGCTGTGATATTTTTCTGAACTGTTGAAAATTGAAGATACGATGCTTCGTTTGCTTTTCCGTAACTATAATGAACATACCAAAATGAGTAAATTTCCTCAATTACAGTAATATTTTTATAAGGCATTCCACAAATTGCACCAGTTATGTCACTGATACTCTTTATCACAAATTGAGTTTTTTCTTTCCTGATGTAGGATCTAATCCAGAAACACACATTGCATTAGGTTATTGTGTCTCTTTTTATTCCGCTTTCGATGGTTTATTTTGGAAGTAGGTTTTCTGGATATGTACAATGAAAACCAAGAGAATAATTTAATTATTAAATATCATTACAATTTTTAGGCAATAATGACTCTAATTTGCTAAATTGATCATGAATAGACAGAAAATAGAAATATTACAAATTCATTACAACAAAATGCTAAATAAACTAAATATATATGCATACACAATGGCATTAGATTGTTTAAAATTTCACATTGTCATTTATTTAGTAATACAAATAGAATGTATTTTCTGCTTTGTTGCAATTTACAAAATTAGCTTAAAATTCATGCATATATGTTACTTATCAGGTCCTTGTGCAATCAGTATACATATTAGCATATAGGTTCTTTCTTGTTTTCAGCATGAATTCTGTTATGGTCTTCTCATTTTATCACCTAATGGTTCCTGGAGCAACTTTTAATTTCTTTTCATTTCTAGGGGATGGTCTTATGGTTCCAACAAAGTTTAGCCTATTTGAAAGACAAGGAGAGGTAAAAGCATCATTGGATAGGAAACCAAGGACTGACATTGCTACCTTTGAAAATGGAGGTGAGCTAGATGATTATAAATACATTATCACCGTCTCTAATTTTTTTGTCATCAATTTTTGTCTATTTCCTGTGTTTTCAAAAATTGGGGACACATCACAAAATAAGATCTGGTGTGTATATGTGCATGCTCAACTCCAGACTGTAACTACTTCAGGCATTAAGTATGTGTAGTAATACACTGTCAGAGAGCCATAAGCAGGGGAGGTATTTAATAAATACTTGGAGTAAGTCTAAGTTAAAGCAGTTGTACACAAATATATCATCATTTATATCAAGGTATGCATATTCTAATTGTGCTTTATGACTTAAACATTTTGGAACTACTGCCCATTAGCAGAAGCATTTGAGAAGAACCCATTCTCTGGCAGAAACTTCTAGGCTTGAGAAAAGATATGGAGACAGTTTTGATGAGAGGAGATGGATTGTCTGACAGGAGGAATGGATGTGAAAAGCCGAAATGAGGTTGAAAAATTACCAACAGCACCAGCCACTGTTCGGCCTGTTGGCAATGCTTTGAGCAGGCCTGATTTTTTCTCTTTTCATCTACTTTCCTCTGTCTACCTTTTTCCTTCCTAATTGGATTATTTCTTCTTTTGTGTTCTGCAGCAGACCTAAAATCATTGTTGGTTGCCTTGAAACAAGTTTTAGCTCTGAATAATGAAAACAAAGCTAGCATGCACATCTTCTGACTTGCTCTGATTGTACATTTTGGTAAAATATTACTAAATCAGGTGGCATTTCTGGTTGATAAAGATTATTTATAGTCATTAATAAACTAACCTTTTCATGTAAAAATAAGCTTCCTTCATGTGTGATATCAATATGTATTTCTTGCTTCATTTGTACTTAGAAAATGTGATAATGTCACTGCACTTTCATTGTTCTGTCTAATATTGTGAGAGTAATAAACTGGTTTGCACAGTAATACTAAAAGGGTGTTAAAACTCTCAGTTATCTGGGAAACTGGTGTTCTGGTCTAGTCAGTTTTCCTGATTTTCCAGGCATCTTACTATTCTTTGCTTAGATAGAAGAATCTCCTTGGTATCTGCATATGAGCACACACGTATTAATCTGCTAATTTGATAATTAATAAACTGATAAAACATCTCAAGAACATAATAAAAATAAAAAGTATAACCAGTGAATCCATATTCACTTTACGTATGTGAAGCATTGTTTTTATTCTTATTTTTAATATCTTCTTGAGATTTGAATTGAATAAAACATAACTCTAGAGTGAATGGCTACAGAAATTTTCACATGCATATGCATATATCCATATTTGTGGTGGTTCCAGAAAAGGGTGCTTTCTACCTAAGGCAAAAGTCTCTTCTCCTTGGTAATCAGTACTCTGAGCTCTGCTACCACAAGTTAATTTTGTATTACCTGATTGTTATATAAGTGGAAATATACAGTTTGAACTCTTTAGCTTGTATATTTTAGTTTAGTGCTTAAGATGGGTTGTATAAAACTCATCCACATTGTTGATTGATATAGTAGCTCCTTTACATTGTTATGTAATTTTCATATGTGCTGCACATCTATATGTCTCCATGAAGATAGTGCATATATGCATATACATGTAACTATGTAACTATATAAAACATCTTCTATATATATTCATTTACCTTTCTCTAAACATACACATGTGCACATGTACACACACACACACACACACAATCACACACACTCAGGAGGGGGATTCCATTATTCCCAGTAGCTATAAAGATAGCATAAAGACAGAATTAGCAAGTATTGAGCAATTGCTCCAAGGGAAAATATTTATATTTACATATACCCAATAGCATATGTGTTTCACATACATTAAAACCTTAAATAATAGAATTTACTTCTCCTGGTGGATCGTATTTAGAGGAAACAAAGTCCAGAAGCACTGTGTAACTTTCCTCAGGCTGTGCTACTAACAGGTGTCAGTGTTGGGATTCAAATCCCTTCCAGCTGCCCCCAAATTACAGTGGCTGCACTATGAGGTGATGTGCTCCTTAAAGTCTCCATCCTGTGGCCATCTCTGCATGCAAACAGAAATAAGAATGCTGAACCTATCACCTGTTGGACCCCACCAAGGAATGTGTGCATCCAAGAACTTAAATTCCTTACTACTGTGCAAGTGTTTGTGAAAAGCTCATGGATACTGGTGATAAGCATTGTTTCTAGTCTGGCTATTCTGAATGTCCTTGTGTCTGTTTTCTAAGGTATGTGGATTCATTTTCCCTCAGATAAACTTGTTCTGTTGTCTCTTTACTAACTCATTTGCTAAGAGTATTTTTGTTCCTCTTATAATTTTAGTACTTTCAATTCCTCTTCCTCTTCTTGTGGTATCTCATTGTCATTTTATTTTCCTGATTTATTTTTTCCAGACAGGGTCTCCCTGGAACTCACTATGTAGACCAGGCTGGCCTTGAACTCACAGAGATCCTCCTGCCTTTGCCTCCTGAGTGCTGGGATTAAAGGCGTGTGCCACCACGCCTGGCTTTCCTGATTATTAGTAACATTGAACACCTTTTCATGAACTTACGAGCTACTTTGACTTCCTCTTTTGTCATGTTGTTCTCATGTCTCTTCCCCTCTTAAAATTAGCTTTTTATTATCAAGTGCTCTGGACACTACTGTATTCTTTGTATTGACCTGGTATCTTTCTAATTATTTCTCTCTGCTCTTTATGTATAAAATTCTATCCCCTCTTTGACCTTTGTATGGATTCCCAGCCTAATTCCCCATAAATCCCCTTTTAAAAAATAATATTCATTCCACCGGCTAACTCTCCTAGCCTGCACTACTATCCTAAGGCCTCTTGCGGTAAGTCTATAGCGCAGCTCTCTGGGCAGGGACTCCCTAAGCCTCATTCACCCTTCCATCCCCCCCGGCCCCCCCCACCGGCCCGCCGTTCTATACTCCTAGTTTGGGCCCGGCGCCATTCCTAGTCTTGGGGCCCCAGACACCTGGGGAACCAATACTGCTCCCTGATCCTTCTCACCCAGAGCAACTCAGTCCCTTTCTTGGGCTCCAGGAGCACCGCTTCTGGTCCTGGCCCCGCCCTAACCTCTCTCTGCTTCCCTGGGCCTGCACCACCGGCTAACTCTCCTAGCCTGCACTACTATCCTCAGGCCTCTTGGGGTAAGTCTATAGTGCAGCTCTCCGGGCCGGGACTCCCTAAGCCTCATTCACCCTTCCATCACCCCCCTGCCCCCCCGCCCGCCGTTCTATACTCCTAGTTTGGG